TTGATTTTATGCTACTTCCTGAAATGGTTCATTGTCAACAATTCTTTTTGGTACAGTGACTCTGTGTATTCATTTTCATTTTCATTGGTTCTTCATGTTTCATTTAATATTTTGTCCATAAGAAATATCAGACATTGTGTGTATTGCAGTTAGTAATTTAAAACCGGACACACATAACTGACTTAATTGAGATGGGGTACGAAGACTAAGGAAAGGTTTACACAGGAAACTATCGTGTAGGGTTCACTGGGACAGGAGGATAGGTAGAAAGAGCAGAGATTGATGAATGGATTGGTAGGATGAGGGGAAAGTAAGAGGATGGTAAGATGAAGTAAGCATTGTACAATTTTAATTGGTGCTAGAAGATAAAATATCTGAGTTATTGCATAAAAACCAATTTTTAAAAAATACTAAGTAAGAGTAAACACATGATAACTATGCGTCAGAATTAACATGATGACAACTAACAACAACTGCAAGGCTTGTTTCTCACTTTGCAAATTCATATAGCCGTGGATGATAACTAGGAATTATCTATCTAGAAACTAATTTCATATTCAGTCACCATCATGAATTGGGATGTTTCTTCAGCTTCACGGCCTATTTCTTCAGGTTTACTGAGAAGCAAAGTATCTCCTGAACCTTTTTTCCTAGCTTTTATTAAATTTTATCACATGGTTCTGATATAAATGTCAATAAAGATTAGTTGGTAAATAAAAAACATTGAATATACCATAGGACTAACAAAAAAAAAAAAGCCAAAACTTTCCTAAAAGACAGAAAAGGGAAAATATGACCACTTTGAATGTAAATAATTATCAATTACTTGTCATGTGCCATGACTCAGCTGGCGTTCCAGAAGATTTTCAGAGGCTGTGAATCACAAGGAAGGAGATTGCCCATCTTTCTCCCACAAAGCAGTTGATAGGTTAGAACAACATGCCTTCTGGTTGACACTTCACCACTAAGTTACCAGAGGTCTTTAATCATAGAGACTTAAAAAGAAATATTGGCCTATAATAATATCTATTCATTAGATTGAAGTTCTAATATATGAGACAAAAAACAATAAATCTTTTATGAACACCGAATATACAACACTGGCAGAAGTGAGAGTTTAAATTATAAATATAGGTGTTTCATCTTTTTTCTTTTTTGGCTTATGTGTCATTTTAATTTTTAACATTGACTTTGTTTAGGTGTTTTAACATGCAGAGATCTAAAATTTTACTCCTGGATACTTTAAGAAAAAATGAATATGAGTAACAGTATTTATAAATTTATAGATTTCCCTATTCCTATTTCACTTTTCAGGAAAACCTACTACACTGTGTGAGTTGATGGGGAAAGCTGATGTGTGGCTGATGCGAAGATACTGGGATTTTGACTTTCCTCGCCCTTATTTACCTACTTTTCAATTTGTTGGTGGACTCCACTGCAAGCCTGCCAAACCATTGCCTGAGGTAAAATGTTGTTCTCTCACAAAATATTTTATTCTCAGTCCAGTTTTTTTAGTGGAAAGATATGGAAAAACATAAACTTCATTTCACTGTTGTTTCACATATGATGTGTCTTGTATTGTTGTCACAAAGTTATGGACTATAAGATACTGGAGAAGGTAGAGAGAGAGGCTAGATCAAGTACATATAGCCACTCAAAAGAATTTTACACTGCTCAGTACCTAAGAAAGAAAAAAAATTGTTCATTCTAGTATATTCTGTCTAATTATAGATAATAAAATTCTATACTAACCACAAGAGAGTGAGAAGTGAAGAAGAAAGATACAGCCTGTCCTAAGAAAACTCATAGACCAGATGCAAAACAATTCATAAATGTTAGACAAGTATATTCATCTTTAACAATGAATATTATGACAAGTGTGATTAAGATAGTATGGTAGTTCTATTATAATCAAGAAAAATTTAAATAAAAATATTTTAAAAAACAAATTCTAATAAAATTTTGTCAATATTAGAGCCTATGTGCATGGCCCATGTTAGAGAGCAAATGATATTTGGGCCCGTGTGACAGGCCGCAAAGGCAGAAAGATTCCAATTCTACCCAAACTTGTAACACCATCACTATAAAAATAGAGCCACACAAGGAAAAGAGAAAAAGAGAGAAAAAGTTTACTTTGCATTTTTAAAAATATGTGTTTATGATACAAAATGCAGAATTTTCTAATGTATATTATTAACATTTTAACTCACGTGTAAGGCAGCTTCTCATCAGAGGTCGTGCTCTGGAATGAATACATGGTGTACAGAGGAAAGGGTGGGTAAGAGCAAACACAGCACACAATAACAAGACAGGATAAAGTGCCAGTTGTTTGGGACAAAGTTTACACACTGACTTTGAAATGTACAAGATAGTCCATAAATTTGAGGAGAGTAGAGAGAATTTTTGTACTCTTCATGTTGTATGGAGTTGCACTATTGACCTAAAGGCACGAGGTTAGCATCTACCAGCTTCTCCGAGGGAAAAAGATGAATAATCTCCTCCTACGCTATTTACTACATCTGAAAACCCGCTGGAGGGTCAACTATGGGTCAGTTCTGACTCAATAGAACTCACCCACAACATAGCATAATTAGCTAGGTTATTCACAACATAAATACAAACATACAACTGGTTCTGTGCCACTTTCTAGTTGTGTGACTTTGTACAAGTTGATTAAATTTTCTAAGATTCAACATCCTTCTTCTTGTTGTTAAGTGCCGTCGAGTCGTAGGCGACTCATAGCAACCCTATGAAGGAGAGTCCTTGACGCTTGGGTGCCTTTCATCCTCTCTCCAGGTTCACAGGGTTTCTGGAGGCAAGCTATTATGCAAGTGGATGCCATTCCTCCTTCCAACATCCTTAGCGATAAAAATGTTGTTGCTGTTGTATCTTGGAGTTGTAACTGAATCATAGCTGAAGCTCCAGTGGGTTTTCAAAGTAAATCATAACAATCTTATAAACAAAAGATCTGAACCCTGTTCTATCCTGTGGCATATTCGCTTTTCCTGACATACAAGAGCCCGTTGCAGTAGTCACCATGTCAGCCCACCTGGTCGAGGATCTTCCTATCTTTTGCTGACCCTCCACTCTTCCCAGCAACATGTCCTTCTCCAAGGAATTGCTCCTCCTAGCAACATGCCCAAAGTATGTGAGGCAAAGTCTCATCATTCTTACCTCAGCTACCCACTCTTCAAGACATATCTGTTTGTACTTTTGGCTGTCCGTGGTATATTCAGTGTTCTTCTCCAACACCTCATCTCAAAGGCAGCAATTCTTTTTTCTGTCATTCTTATTCATTGTCCAGCTCTCAGAGGCATAGCAAGTGATTGGAAAGAATATGGTCTGAATCAAATGCACCTGAGTTTTCAAACTGACATCATTTCTCCTCAATATTTTGGAGAGGTCCCTAACTGCAGATTTTCCCAGGGCAATATATCTCCTTATTTCCTTACTGCTGGTACCAAGCGTATTTATTCATTGTGGATATAAGCAAGAAGAAGCTGTTGACTTTTTCAGTTTCTTCTCCATCTATCATGACACAGCTTATTAGTCCAGTGGTAAGAATTTTTTTTTTCTTGACTTTAAGATGCAATACACACAAAAGGCTGCATTCCTTGATCTTCTGCAACAAGAAAACAGAAATTCACACCACTGGACCTATCTATAAGCAACACCGTGACAGATGGAGAAAAGATTAAAACTCCAATGCCATCATCTTTCTTGGACTTTCTATGCACTTGATAGCAGCAGTCAGAAGTCAGGAGATATATTGCAGTGGGAAAGTCTATTGTCAGAGATATTTCCAAATTATTGAGGAGCAGTGAGGTCAGTTTGGAGACTAGGGTGCCCCTTATTCAGGCCATGATTTTTTCCAATCATTGGCTATGCATCTGAGAACTGGACAGTTAATAAGAATGAAAGAAGAAAAAATTATGCCTTTGAGCTGTGGTGCTGGAGAAGAATACTGAACATCCCATGGACTGCCCATAGAGCCAACAGAAATGTCTTCGAGAAAATACAGCCAAAGTGCTCCCTGGAAGCAAAGATGATAAAACTCATCTCACAAATTTTTGGCACATTCTTAGAAAAATCCATTCTTTGAGATGGAAAAAGGAAAGGTGTTTGGAAAAGTGAAGGTTCAGCCAAAAAAAAAAATAAAAACCAGAACACCTCCAACCAGATAGACTGACATAGTAACAACTGCTCTGGGCTCAAGGGTATCAGAAATAATGAGGATGGAACAAGATTGGGCAGGATTCAAATCTGTTGTTCATAGGGTCACTATGAGTCATATTTGACTTAATGCCATCTAACAAAAACAATAACATGTTGTGTAAAATCCTTACACAACATCAGGTCTCTAATTGTTTCTTTCAGTAGATTTTTCTTAACATGAATAGATATGAATTCTTAGATAAGTTGGCCATATATTTTACCCATTAATTCACATTTCCAGGGAGTATTTTCTTCTCAGTATAAATTGTTTGCAGACAAAATTTGTAACTTTATGAACCACTGCTTCAGATCCCTTTAAAATACCTCAGTCAGTATCAAGTACAGAATTAAATTCATACTCAAAATTTAGGAAGTGTATGTAAAAATTTTGATTTCATGTTCGATCAATTTCTGACTACAGAGTTGGTAGAAATCTTCTATTTCTTCCTCTTTGGCTCTGGTTGTGGGTGCATATGTTTGAATGATAGTGGCATTCACTAGACTTCCTTGTACACATATAAACATTATCCGGTCACTCGCCACATTGTATTTCATTATGGATCCAGAAATAACTTTTTGATTATAATAGCAACCCCATTTTTTCTCACCTTGTAATCCCCAGCATAGTAGATCATATAATCATCTAATTCAAAATGTCCCATGCCAATCCATCTCAATTTGCCAATACCTAGAATGTCAATATATATGTGTTCCATTTCTTTTTTAATTACATCCAATTTCCCTACATTCATGCTTCTCACATTCCACATTCCAATCACTAGTGTCTGCTTATAGCTGTTCCTCCTTCTTTTTGCTTCCGTATCTGAGATCTCAGCCTCAATTGCTCTATTGTGCATAGGGTTTTCAAAGGCCTGTTATTTCAGAAGTGGATGGCAAATACTTCTTTCTAGCCTGTCTTAATTTTTTTTTTTACTAGTATCTTACAGACAAGCATTTTACAGAAGGGAGCAGGTAAAAGACATTTACCCAATTAGAAAAATGACCAATAGATTCAGTGTTGCTATCCACCCCTGCCACATGTGTCTTCACCCACCCCTATCCCAACTCCACCAGCCATTTCTATTTTTGTCTACACCATTCAACATCACACTTCCCTAAACCAGTACTTGATATGATGGCTTAAGTCTCAAGCTGTTGAAATTTCTGTGATTCTGAACACCTCATGCTGCTGTCAGTCTTTTATGATGTGGCTAGTATCTCTTGAATTTAATAAGAGTCTGTAAGTATAACTATCAGGTACAAGTATCAGGAAGGCTTCCTGTCTCAGATAGTTCTTAGAAACGAGTCCTTTGTC